TAAGTATATTTCTTATTATAGCTATCAGAACCTTTTTCCTTGGCCATGAGTATTGCAAGTTCTCTTGTTTGAGTACTAGTCATTTTGATGTTGTCAAACGTCTTCCATAAACGGGGATTATAACGGCAACACTCAGGAAACTAGGTCCTCTTAGTAAGGGAAGCTTACAGTACAAGACTGGGAATGTCCCCCTATTAACAATACGGAATATGTCTTTGTTGTCTACAAGGCCTCTCGAAGAGTGAGACTGTGAAAATTCATGGTCGTGCTCAGATGGATTTTAGAAATCATCTGCTTATTGACAGTTAAACTCGGGAATCGAGAAACACTTTTTGACGTAAATAAGGATGACGAAGAATCTTACCTTATAGTGAAAGGAATGGGTTCAGAATTATTATAGAGCTAATTCTTCAGTAAGGTCAAGTGATCGGAATACCTAGGTGGAGGCCGCTTCCGATCAGTAATATTAAGGTATATTCAATATTACAGCTTAATCTTAACTGAACCCTTCGGGTCGAACCCAATCGAACAACCGATCCGAGACGACGAATTAATCTGAAGGATTTAATGAGTCGACAGAATTTTACGAATACAAATGCCGGATATCGAGCCTAGGGCGTCGAGATCGAGCGTCGTAAAATTACAAGTGACAAGTATGAGCGTGGCCATAGCTAGGCTAGGCTAGCCCATCGCAAGTCTAGGCGCACCATGTGTGTGCTAGGCGCACCATGGTGTGCTAGGCGAGACATGAATGCCTAGGCGCTATCGCAACCCTAGCATCATGCCTAGGCGCCATCGCAGCCCTAGCATCATGCCTAGGCACCATCGCAGCCCTATCGATCCAAGCACATCACCCATGTGTGTGTGCATGTGCGTGGGCACTATTGCAGCACCCTAGCACCACGCACAGCACCATCACAGTGTTAGGCGCATGCGTGTGTGCGTGTGCGTGTTCACCATCGCCCAGCAGCCTCGCAATGCAGCACTGAGCCTTCGCGTAGTTGTGTGCTTCCGTGCGTGCCTAAGTTAGCAAGCAGCACCAAGCCCAGCATGCGTGGCTCGCTAGCAGCACGCATGCTAGGCCTTGCGTGCGTGAGTGCGCTGGGTGGGCTATGCGTATGCTGGCCTGGCTGTTCTGGCTGTGCGAGAGGGTCTGTGCATGTCCGATGACGAGAGAGGCAAGGGCCAGCACCAGCGCTAGCAGCTAGCAGCGCCTAGAACTGGCACGCAGCAGCAGCACAAGCATCGCCCAGCGCCAGCACGCATTGCCTGGATAGGGATGCGAGGCTGCTGGCTGGGTTAGCTGGCGTGCTAGCTGGAAGTTCTAGCTGGCGTGCTAGCTGGCAGCAGCCCAGCAACCCTTGCTTGAGGCGGTTTGTGGTGACTGGGGACCAAAGGCTTGGAGCTTGCCTTGGGGAGCAGGCAATGGTCCCCCCCCCAAGGTTTATGGTCCTCACCTAACCCTCTCTCCCCTTGACACTTCTTGCATTGTGATTGTTTTGATTATTAATATATTTTGGAATTAAATTAATTATCAAAATTGTTCATTCTCCAACATTGGTTGGGAAATGAAGTCCAAGGGTTCATTTCCCAATAAATACCAAAGTTTGGGTATTTGGGAAAGAACAACCTTGAGTGGAATTAAAAGCAACTCTTGATTTGAGTAAACCTTGATTCGTAAAACTCATAGTTTTATTTGTCCGGGTCTCGACTGACCTTCGAGACTTAGGACGTTCGGGTCGAGTTCGAGGGTACGATCTCGTTGGAGACCGTGTATTTTTGGGGTTCAAGTAAGAGCTCATAGTAGAGCGAAGCACGCGTCAAAGGTATAATCTTTTATCCTTAATTATGTTTTAATTATGTTTTCCTTGTTAATTGCATTTATTATGGGGCGGGGTTTGGCGGGTTTCTTTCCGCATAGTGAGGGTTACTACGAAACCCAACAGCGGTATCAGAGCCACACTCCTTTTAATTTTTGCAATTATTGATTAATTAAGGTGTTTTAAAGTAATATTTAATTTCTGGTTTTGCTTTTCTAATTAGATTAGAAGCTCGTTTTAATTATTTTTAAAACTCGTATTTTTTATCGATTTGGCTGTCGAACCTACATTTTTGCTCAAAAATAGTGATTTTTGGGTGGAATCGACATTCTGAAACAGATCCAGATCCAAATTCGAACCAGAAACCCTAGTTTTTGGGGTTTTTTTTGTTTTTCAACGAAAATTTTAAATTTTGTAAGCCTTGATTAATGCAAGCATTACAAGGTAAGATTAAATGCATTATTGCATCCCTAATCTAGTGCTAATTTAAATATCCTTAAGCATAATTATGGAGTTTTAATTAGTGCTTGTGTTGATATGCCTTTTTCACATAAACTTGATTTTTCACAATTTTGCAAATTAACTGCAATAATGTGTGAATGTTTGATGTGAATGTGTAATTTTAAGTTCCCAAGTATGTTAAATTTCTAATCTTTAAAGGTTTAAATGATTGGAACTCTAACCCTAATTTCCATATTGAACAAAGTTCGGATTTTTTTTTTTAATTTTTGTTGATTAAAATCCATGAAGTTCAAATATTTGTGAGTAAAATTTTGATTAATCTTCGTATTGGAAGATGTAATATTGTTATTTTACACAAGTATGAAAGTTGGAAAATTTTTATCATTAGATGGTTAATTTATTTTTCCAACTCCCATTTGTCAAATCCATTATTAATCTGCATATTAGCCAAAATTAATTATGGACATAGCTCATTTAATTTTAAGCATAAAGAAAGACCTAAATTATTTCAAATCAATTTTGGATAATTTAGGCTTGTGCACCATTAAAATTGAATTTAATTAAGTTGGACTTATTTTATTTTCATTTTTGCACTTAAATTACTTAAAAAATAAATTTAGATTAATTTTATGTCACACATAAATCGGGATCAAAATCCCGAGTAAAATGCACGCAAATCGATGCAAAACCGCAAGCGTCACCAATGCTAGCCGGGCTGCCTAGCAGCCCACATGTAGGCTGCCTATGGTGCGCGCATGGCTAACCATCAATGTTGCGTGGCTGTGTGGCGAGGGGTGCCAAGGTGCTGGGCTTGGGAAGTGGCATTGGCTGCTGGCTGCTTGGGCCATTGCTAGGCAGCGTGGTAGCAAGCACCAGCCAGCCCCCACTTGCTGGCAGGCGCCAGTATGCGAGCAGGCATGCGTGGTGCTGGCCAGTGTAGTGTGCTATGCTGGGCGTAGCATGCTAGCACCAGGCGCCATCACAACCCTTAATGCTGCTGGTGCGTGTGTGGCGTAGGCTGCTGGCGAGCTGGTGCTGCTGCTGGGCAGCGAGTCAGCAAGCCCCAGCCAGCCAGCCCACTGCTGCCTAGCAGCCATGGTGCCAATGCACCATTCTTGGGTGAGGCTTCGTTGCTTATTTTTTAGCTATGCAATTTTGCAAAATTTTGCCGTTTTAAATTATTTATGTAATTATTTTAACAAGGTTAGTCCTCGATTTCTCCGGCTTTTGCAAAATTTTTTATTTTGACAAATTATGGGTTATGCCAACTTAATTAATCGAATTAATTAAGTATGGATGCAGAATTTAGTGGGAGATTAGTTAATTACGTGAGCAATTTGCTTTTAGAAATAAAGAATTAAACAACTTTGACTAGTTTTAATTAGGCGCGTTAATTGGATTTACCACCTAAGTTAGTTACTAGTTTTGCGTGTTTATTTATGTATTTCGTAATTTGCATGGGCCATTCACAAATAGTTAATGGGTGAATGGAAGATTGTTTTCAAAACAGGTTATTGAAAATGGCAACTAGTGGGGCCCGACTAGGATAGAAAATACGGACTGCGATCTGTTATGTATATTTGTAAATCTAAATACGGTCTGCGAACCGTTAAGTATTTTTGTACTATTAGATTAATCTTAGTCGTACTAGCTACTTATTTTATTTTGTCCAAGATGTCTCAAGACGGCGTTTCAATGAAGACGAGCCAAAATGAAGACCCATGGAAATTGATGATTTCAAGGGGTCATGCTAGTTGCCAAATGCATCATTTTATGATTTATATATATTATTGTTATATATGAATGTTAGATGCATATCTAGGATTTCTATATGTTGCGACGATTATTTAAGTTCACTTAAATCAAACTAACATAGAAACCCTAGGTCCCTTAATAATATTGAGCTAAAATTTGTCGTTCCAAGAACAACACTTACTGAACTAATGCGCGTATGTGATGGGCAATTGATACTAAGAATTTAACTATCTACTTAATAAAGCGTCAAATATTTAAGTTGAAATAATAAGGTTGAAGTGTATATAAATTTCTACCTGATGAGTAAGAGCTTAAATTAGGTGTAATTAAAGTGTTTTCACTAAACTTTATTTGTTGAGATGATGTATTTTAAAACTTCTACTTGTTATCTTAATTCAATTTTACCCAATTCAGTACTTCGTACGTACAAGGTACACATTAAAAAGATTTATTTTTTTTAGTTTTATTTCTTATAGGAATTTTTTATGGAATTATATACAAGTGTAAAGTAGAGAATTGAAGTGGAAAATTTTTTGTATTAATAATGTATTTGAAACAACATATTTGGGGTGAAAAAAACACTATTCTAAAAGGCAAAAAAATTTAGTGAGGAAGGTCACCTAATTTGTATTTTTCATAATGTAAGAAGAGAACTATTTCTGATCTAAATTGACTTAATAATTTGGACCTAAGTGAGCATGGGACTTTTGGACAACTAACTCGTAATTCATATGAAAGGGAGGGATAGCTAAGTGGTTAGAGCTTCCCTCCTTATTCTAGGAGATCCTGTGATCAATTCTCACCCCACCCTTGTAGCTCTCAAAAAAAAAAAAAAAAAAAAAAAAAAAAAACTCATAATTCATAGACAAATCCATGCATGCCATATAATGTATCTTGTTAATTGTAGTTATTACATGACACATATTAATCCATCATACATGAAATATAGTTAGAATTGATTACCTGATGATGATGAAAATTTTCATTTTGGAGCCTGATTCGCGATACATGGTGAAAGGAATCATCATCAAGAATAATGGAAGCATGATGGAGGGGAGGAGGGGAGATGATTTGGGAAATGGGATGTGATGGTCTACTCATGTGAAAGGCGGCCGAGGTTGCTATGGATTGGTGTGTATGATGATGGTGATGATCTTGGGGAGCATTCATAGCATGAGGATGGTGATGAAGCTGATGATGTTGTGGCCTTGGCTCGTGGTCGTCGCATGCCGCCGACATGGCGGCACTTTCCCTCAGTGGCGGAGCCAGGATTTGTAATCCGGGGGGACAATTTTTAGATGTTTAATAATCGACAATAATTATAAGAAAAAAGAAATTGATCACATAAATTGTTTAATATATATTTGAAATCGCTTATGAGATATGACAATTATTCTTATATGGTGAAAGAGGAGTTGTTAAAAAATTAATTGCATATTAAGAAATTTATTAACCAAATTTTTTTTTTTATGCTGGTAAACCCCAATTTTAAGGTATGTAATCCTTAATAATCGATAAATATGATTTATCAAATGATAAGCATTTACACAAATTGATAGTAGATGTAAAGGGATTTGGGTTACATTTAAAAAAAAAATAATAATAAATAAATAAACTTTCTTTGACTAAAAATAAAATTGGAAACTTAGTTCCAAACAAGCTATAAAAAAAATAGAATTTAGGCACACATAATTAGAGAGATAAAAAAATACGGAGACATGTGTTCATTACAAATAGTTTAATAACACATTAGTAATCACTATCAACAAGGCGATACTTGATTAAACAGTTAAATGAGAGTAATTAGAGGTTTGAAGACTTATAATACTTTGTATATATAAATTACATACTATATAATGAAATTTAAAAACCAGTAAAAAAAAAAATGGCAAAATCCAAAAACAAGAAAAAGAAGTTAAATAGGAGCACTTTGTATAAACTATAAAATGAAATAAAAATAAAGTCCAAAAATAGCAAAAAGAAACAAAAAAAATGATCGGGTAAAGAATCGAACCTAGGATCAAAGAGAAATACAAGCTTTACTCAAGCCCATCAACCACCAGACCAAATGTTGTCTTTGTTATATAAGGTATACATGTAAGGTATTTATTCTTATTTACAGCTTTTATTTAAGCTAACATAAATTAAATTTTTTTTTGGAAAAATGGGGGGACAACCGTCCCCCCTTGTTCCTACATGGCTCCGCCCCTGCTTTCCCTTACTGTTGTTGAACCATCTCCCATTCCCGCCTAAGGGACAAAGTAAACAAGGGCATAAATTAAAGCTAGATTAATTAGCTATACTTTAGCTAACAAATATATTTTTACTACAACTTGATTGTGTTTTTAGTACTTTATTTTGCATTTTAAAATTAAATGAAGTTTAATTTACACTTTTACAAGGTTGCCAAAGATTTTGTATCTTTAATTCTTCATCTTACTAAGCTATTCTTAATAAGTTGGTAAACAAATTAAAGTCAAAACTTTGGTGCATGATAGTGATTGTTTGGCAATCAAAATTTAATTAACTTCTTTATTCTTTGCATGCAAAGCCATTAACACAAAAAATATTAAATATAAATTAAAACTAAAAAAAAAATTTAGAACTTTTTTCTTTTACTTTTATTTCTCTCCTTTTTTTTTTGGCTATTTTTATCAAGTTTTTTCTTCAACTAGGAATCCATTTTAAGGAACCAAATGCAAATGTTGTGTGACTAGTTTTATCTTTTATGAGTATCATCATATATTAAATTCAAATCTTAATTTGTACATAGTACTTTGTAATATTTAAATTAGTGTGACAAACTCCCTAACTATTAGTACTTTATTAGAAAAAGTGTAAAAAAATAAAATTGTGTGGGTATTATATTTCTAATTCAAATCTCATTTAGTACTTTGCTATATTTAATTAGTGTGACACTCTCTAATTCTAACTCGATTAGTACAATTTTAAATAGATATTTTTAAAAATTGAAATAAAATGACTTGTAATTTACTTAATTTTGTTTTTTAGGTACACAATTATTATTTTATGAGAAAAAAATCATAAATTGTGAAATTTCACCCATTTGGTAGGACAAGCAAATGAATAGTTGAAATTCAAACACAATCTACATTGGGAAAGGAGAAGAATGAAAGTATTTTTACCTCATCAAAACCTTTTCTGGTATTATTATTAGCAAATGGATTAAAGCTGAATTGTTCAGCAGCTCTCAAATGCTGCATATCCAACGCAGTAAAACTCGAAAGCGCGGCAGCAGCACCACCAACAACATTAACACCAGCAGAAATAGATATTTGATCATCTCTACTATGATGAGTAATCACTTCTTTAGATGAAGAAGTACTTCCACTACCACTTCCACTCTCTCTTCTTCCACTAGGCTCACTTCCATCTCCGGTTGTCGCGCTACGTTCCATTGTCCAATTACATTGCCTAGGTTGTGTTTGGTAGAATATTTTGGACACTACTAACTCCCCTTCTTTTTCCTCTTCATGTTGTCCTAAGTGATATTGATGCATCACCCAATTTGTTTTCTCGGGTTTTCGATTTTTGCCAAAGTTTGTGTATAGGACTAGAATCTTCTTACACCCCTTTTGCTTCCCATTCACCATTACTGGCCTTGTCTTGCCTGTTTTATGCCACCGGGTTTCGCCCCCTTGGAGGTCGCATTCGGTTTGGATTTTTCTTCGTTTTCGTGTTCCGGTGGTGTAGGCCTTCGACGGCCTATGGAAGAAGTGTCTACTCAATCCATCTCTAGTCACTCCTGTTGAAAAATTAAACAAACATATATAAAATCCAAAGAATGAAATGAGAAACAAGAAATTGAAAATATTGATATTTCAAAGTTAGGTTGACTTAGGTGCAACCAACTATAAGACAAATGTAAATAAAACTACTAATTATGAACATGTGATGTAATGAAAGTCATAACAAACAATGGAGTGGTAGAATATTTTGGGAGGAAAACACTCAAAAATAACTATTTGGGGTGGTGGTGGTGGTTAATTAGTGTTTTTTTAGTTAAGACTTTGTGATTAATTAAAAAAAATTGGTTATAACCTTTTTTTTTTTGTTTGTTTTTGGGTAGGCAAGGAAGCAAGGTGTTTTAGATTAATGAAACAATGTTTTTTTTTTCTCTTACAAAAAAGGATTCTTAAATTTTAGTATAATCTTATGATTTTTATTTATTTTTTTTTTACAAAATTCGGCAAAAAAAGAAGATGATTAAATAGAATACCTGGGAGTTTTTCAGGATGAGTGTAACAAATACCATCTTCACCTTCAATAGTAGGGATAAACTCATCAATTAAAGGATGAGATTTGGATGATTTTCCTTCCACTTTTGCTTCAAGATGTTCTATCAACTCTTGGTCTGTTGGGTCAAATTTAACACCAGCTGGTAGACCTACCCAATCTTGTCCCCAATAATTTTCAAGAAACTTCATAAACAAATTAGCACCTTCAAAAAAAAAATTACAACCCAAAAATGAATTTATAACATTAAAATCAATTTTCCGAAATCATTATTAGTCTAATTATATCAAATTTGTTAACAACGCTTACTAATAAAAATACGGGGTATTACAGTATATTTTAATTACATACCGGTTTTGATCCTTCGAGTCTATGACCGCAACCAGGGCACTGTTTCGATCCACAAAGCTGATGTTCCTCAAGCTTAGCATCTATGAGATCGCTCGCGCTACTAATGGAGCTTAATTGGGATTTGTTACTACTATTATTATTATTCATAGCTAACTAAAATCTAATTAATTATAAAAACTAATTAAGAATTCTTCCCTAATACTCCCTCAACTTTTTTTTGAATGATATAATTATACTAACTACTATACTACTACTAATAATAATAATAATAATACTTTTTTTCCTTTATTATTATAACAATAGTGACCTTTGCTTCTTCTACACTTCAAATAACACTCTTCATCATCAATAACAATTGTTGTTGTTGTTGTACTAACACACCATCAATGATCATTCCTTGAATATCATCCATCAAAACTGCACCAAAAATCGACAAGAACAACAAGAAGGGTTTATTTAACACGAGAAGAGCACACGATTTTGATTGGAATTCAAGAAAATCGAAAGACCCAGATGAAATTAATGACAACCCAGATGATAAAATTGAAAACCCAGTTGGAAAAATGGTTTTTTTCTCCAAGAAAAAAATACGAGATAGAGATGGAGGAGAGAGAAAATGAGGGGATAAGAAGAGAAGAAGAAGAAGAAAGGGAAGAAACTGACAGTCACGGTGGAACTCAGCTAAAAAACACACACTTACTCTAGAGAGAGACACATATACTAACTTTGAATAAAAGGGGAAAAAATATTATTGGATATTTATATAAATTTTGAATATAAAAAATTGAAAATAAAAAAAAAAATTAATAAACCCAGAAATTGGTGAAAACTTTAACGGAAGAAGAAGAATTGAAGAAGATGAAAAAGGAAAAGGTGGGTTCAGACAAATAGGTATACAATAACCCACCTTTAAAGGACTTTCCCAAATTAAGTATGGCGGTTCTTATATTTCTTGACTAACTGCTTCCTAAAGCCTTAAGAATTTAAAATAATAAAATATAAAAACTATAAAAAAAATAAAATAATAAATAAATAAATAAAGAGGAAAAAAAGGGGTAAAATTTGGAGTTGTTGATTGAATTAAAATTACAACATTTTATGTTATAAACTTATAAACATGATTTTTTTAAAGGGGTATTGGTGAAATTAATGGAATATTTGGTGGGGTGAGGGAAATTTTAGTAAAGTTTAAAAAAAAAGATACCCAATTGTCAAGTTGGAAAAAACACAAATTAGAGAAAATTATAGGGGTGAAATGGAATTTTTTTTTTTTTTTTGTAAAAAAAAATAAAATTAAAAATGGGGTTTATGGGTCATTAAGATAAGAATTTTGTTTTTCCTAGAATCAAGCTTTTTACAGAGAAAGAAGGAAGAAAAAGGAGGGAAATTAAATTAAAGGAAATAAGAAAATAGAGAGAGAAGAAGGGAGAAATAAAGGAAAAAGATGAACTCACATGGGTTTTGAGCTGGAGTGGTTATCATGATTCTTTTGCCATGAAAATGTTTTGTATTTTTTTTTTTTTTTTTTTTTTTGGCTACTAAATTTTTTAAGAAGAAAGAGAGAGAGAATTGCAGAGAAGATGAAAGAGTTGCTTGATATGCAAGGCAAATGAGCAGTTTATGTACTTGATGGACCACCTACACAAAATCACCCCTTAAATCCCTTAATATATGAAATCCTTTTGGATTTCCTTTTACTCTATTATTTATCACTAACGGCCAGTTTGATAAATGTTATCCCGTAATAAATCGTGGTAATGGTAATGAATTTTTATTAAATTTGATAATGCGTAATACTTTGTATTTCCTTCATTTCAAAATATTGTCTTAATTTTGACAAAAAAGAACAACATTTAGAGGCTGAGGAAGTGTGATTCTATAAGAAAAAGAGTCATGTTAACGCGTCACCAACTCACCACAATACTTGTCTCCTTCCAAATATCTTCATTAATTTTAATTTCATTGAAACTCATTAGCACTTGTAGATGTGGTAATAAATTTTGTATAAAAATACACATGATAATATGATACATAAGATATGAAGTTTAATTAATTACATATCATGTGCCCTATAAGGACATTGAAGCGAGACTTTTATTTTTCAAAATAACTCCTAATTCCATTACATTTAAACCTTATTCATTATCATCTGCTAAACTGCTAAACAGGCAGATAGCGTGTTAACATTTTCAATACCATTTTCTGGCCCCACCCCGCACCCGTTTACTTTTCAAGAATGGACTAAAACTGTTAACAGCTTCAATCCCCCCCCCCCACCCCTCACCCATTCACTTTACAAGGTTGTACTAAAACTATTACAAAGTAATTCAAATTAACAAAATATCTTTATGATATAGAGTTATAGAACAATGCTTTTAATTCGATTTTTTTTAGTAACAATATTATATATTTTTTAATTATTTTATTAATGATTAGTTATATATGCTATTTAATTTTGTTCTTCATTAAGTTATTGATTTTGGTTAAAAGGCTTTCATTAGCAAATTTGATCTCCCTCTGTCCCTTTATTTTGACTTATTGCTAGCTAATTTTTGGGTCAAACTAACTTTGAAAATTTCGACCATATATTATCGTTAATATATTAGGGTAAAAATAGTCATGTGAGATTTTGTTAAATTCATCTCATTGTATATTTTATTTATATGATCACCTTTTTTTATAATTTTTACATGTATGGAAATTAAGACAGAGGGAGTACTACGTAATAACAAGATATCTTTATAGTGAATCGTTATTGGTGGAGGTGATGGTAGTGGTCAACTAAAATTCTAATTTAAAATCTCCCAAAATTTCAATTTGAAAATTAGAAAAACCATACAAAATATTTCGCATTAGATATACAATATACCATTGGAAAAATAGAAACTAATAATCCCACATTTAGCTTTGCTGCTCAAAACAATCCCATCTTTTTGAAATGTAGAAACAATCCCACCTTTGACCCCCATCTGCTCATAATGAGCCTTTTTACCTAAAACCTGTTTAACAGGAACTATTTTTTTATTTTTTTATTTTTAATTTTTAATTTCTTACTACCACCGTTTCATAAAATCTGCAACAATTGATTGTCAAAAAGGAAACTACACATTATGTGCAACAAACTTTTTCTTTCCTTTTTTGGTAAGGTTTTTCTAAATGAAATTACTATATGCCCCATATTTAAAAACTATATGCCTTTCTAAATGAAATTACTATATGCCCCATATTAAAAAACTATATGCCCCATATTTAAAAACTAATAGCATTATTTAAGTAACTAATTTAAATTAATTAGATTACTTAACATTAATCATTATAAAACTCCTTCTCTCCCCTGCCTACAACTGCCACCATCACCATCATCATTGACCACCGCCATCATCACCGACCACCATGAGAACCACCATACCAGACCACCAACACCACGAATACCTTCGACACCAGACCACTCATACCAAGGCAACCATAAACACTTCCGACATCAGACCATTACACCCACGAACACCATCTTCTTCATCTTCATTTAGGATTCATTTTTTTATCATTGCCGCCGCCACGACCACCACTAGTTGCGTTCTTCTTCGTCTTAATTAAAGATCTCAGATCGAAATGAAAAAGAGAGATAAATGGGTGTGCGATGTTAAGAAAACTACAGAAATCAAATCTAATTCTAGGGTTGGTGTTTTCATGTCGATTTGTTGCGGCCTGGGAGGGTGAGTGAGGTTGGTGGGGTTTCGATTTGTTGCGAGGTGGGTGACTGCATGGTGGGGTTTTGGGATTTTGCTGGTGCAGTGGTGGGGTTTCGAGATTTTGTTCATGGTGGGGTTTCATGTGGTGGCGGTGTTAGTGGTGGGGTTTCGGGATTTTGGTGGTAGGGTGGTGGGGTTTCGGGATTTTGTTCATGGTGGGGTTTCATGATAACACGATATTATACATGATTTATATGTGATATTTGGTCATATTTTATTGTGTTTCCTTCATTTTCCTACTCTTTTAGAGCTATTATTCTTCCTATTTCGATATTGCTCTTCTCGGTTTGTTTGTTTTTGTTTTTATAGGAATAGAGATCTATTTGCGTGGAATTCAACTTGGACGCAAGATATTCTTCATATGGAGAGTTTTTAGCATCCACGAAACATCATGGCAGCCTAGTCCGCAGCTTGATTGCGGTTTACTATGACCTACCGCAGCTTACCTGTGGCGCACTTCACAAAGGAGCAAGAATTCAAGTCGGCAGCCTACAACAATACCGCGGCTCGCGACCTTGTACCGCAGCCCGGTTGCGGCCTCTTCATTACCAACGAAATTAGCCCTATTTTAGGGATTTTAGGAGTCCTAATCCTAAGAAAAGACTACTATTATTTTCCTAACATATAAATAGGTTTTAGATAGTCTTTTATCTATCACTTTTTACATACATTATTTTAGAGCTTTTGGTATTACGTTCTTCATTATTACTTTCAAGATTCAAGTTTTCATATTTAATTCCAATTCCAAGTATTGATTTCTCTTCCTTATTCTCTTTAATTTTTATTTTTATTATGTTTTCTTTAATTAATTGTCTTGTTACTTCTATTATTATGCGTGAGTAGTTTCATAATCTAGGGTTAGGTTGAACCCTAATATGGATTGATGTGTTATTTGATTCCCAATTCCCAATTTAATTAATTCATAATTTCTCTTTGTTAGGGTTGGTTTTATTATCAATGATAAACTAGAAATAGTATTATTGAATGTGATTAGGTTTACAACGGAAGTTGATTCTTAATTGAATTTAGAACCCTAATTAAAAGTAAGAGCTTTTATGCATGAAAATAGTTAATTGTTCTTGCTAGGGCATATAGGATGCCGTTCTCAATGTCTTTAATATGTATGATTCCATGAAAATAGGTATGATTGCATGTTAGGGAAGCTATTAGTTGATCGAAAGAAACTCTTAGTATTGTTTTAGGGAGCATCTGTCTTGTGGAATATTTATTAATTTAATTGAGGGAAAGGGATTGTTCTATTTCATTGATTCATATTAGTGGGGATACTTAATCTTAGATGTCTTTAGTTCTTGATTAATTCATTATTATAATTTTCTTTGCTTGATAGTTTGTAATTGTTCTAGAATAGATTTCTCGATATTGATTGGTTACTTGCTTAGTATTGATTTGAGTCTGTTTAATTAGTAGTCCTTAGTCTCTTGGGATTCGACCCCTACTTGCTCAACTACATAGTAGAGTTAGTTCGGTTATTATTTTTGTTAGGTACGCGACACACCTATCATTTCAGGTGGTGGCGGTGTTAGTAGTGGTGCGAGTTAATTGGGTGAGGTTGGTTTTGGGTGGTTATGGAGGGGTTTCAGATCTGGGTTGTGGTGAGAGTGATTAGAGGATGCGGTGTTAGTGGTGGAGTGAGTTGGGTGGGACGGTGGTGCGAGTTGGCTGGTGTGGTGTTGGTGGTGCTGCTGATGGGTGTTGCGAGTTGGCTGGTGCGGTGTTGGTGGTGCTGCTGATGGGTGGTGTCAAGGAGAAGATGGCAGTAGGTGGTGGACTAGTGGTGGCCCTTGATTGATTAAGTATCCCCTCTTTCTCTCCCTACCCTCAATCACATACCCTTCACTTTGTTAATCAAGCATTATCAAATTTTGTCTTGGGAAACGTGCAGCCACGTTTGTTGCAGATTTTATGAAACGGAGATAGTATATCTCCTTCTTCCTACCTCTCACCTCCCAACTCCTTCAATGGCATCACCACCACCGCCTTTCCATAACCACCATTACAGCCATCACTTGATGCCCACCTAACCTCCACCACGAACTCCAAACCCAACCCCCTCACACCAGACCACCACCTCTCCATAACCACCACTACAGATTTACAGCCACCACTTGATACCCACCTAACCTCCACCACGAACTCCCAACCCAACCCCCTCCCACCAGACCACTGAAATGGCCACTAATTAAACCCACATACCAAACACTGCCTGACCCACCATTTAACCCGCGAAAAAAATTAAACCACACGACTGCGTTGTCCAACCCCAGCTGGCTTTGCAATCCAACTCCGGTGATCCATATGAGCTCTACCCCTTAACCGGAAACTCATCCCCACCACTAACTTGACACCACATCCAAAAAACCTCTCATTTAACAACCACCGACACGAAAACCCACACCACCTCTCAAGTCTTAACTCTATCATCCAACCACTCCACTGATAAACATTAAGCACCTCTCAACTTCACTAATTCACCTTGCTAATCTTCTTCCCTTCTCCAATCCAATTTCTCGCGCAATTGTCATTCGAAACCTCACAAAACTGGAGCAATAGTCGATTGAAGTATGCTTTTATACACTAGGGAATGGGGGCTGCAATTTAGTGGGTGAGGCTCTAGCACCGGCAGGAAGAGGGGAGCTAGTTCAAGTGGGGGATTAGGAGAAGAAGGAAGATGAAAAGGGCTAGAAGTGAAATGAATAATCACGTGCAATGGTGGTTTTAATTTGTAGGTTGTCGTGGCTCTATCAAGGGAAGAGTTAGCTCCGGCAGGGATATGTCGGGTGGGTGAGTCCGGCAAGGGAAGGGATTGGGGAAGTGGGATAGGGTTTTTAATTTATTTTTTTTAATTATCCTTTTTAATAAAATTATGAAACAAAACAAAAACCAATAAGAAAGTGACACGTGTCAAGTCACCTTCTTTAATAAGTTACGAATTTGATAAATCGGTAAAAGGCTCATTTTAAGTAGATATGGGTCAAAGGGGAGATTGTTCTTAGATTTCGAAAAGGTGATATTGTTTTGAGAAGAAAAGTCAAAGGTGGGATTATTAGTTTCCATTTTTCCAATACAATATTACATTAAATTTTGAAGCATTAAATATATAATATGTACCATTTTACATTGATATTCAAAGTAAATACGGAATACCATTTTTATACAATTTG